ATATAAATAAATAGGCACTTCGGGGAAATGCAACCAACACAGTTTCTGCAAAGGTTTCTCCACTTGGCAGAAAATCTGGATGGCTTCCTGGAGAAGCTGACATCTGGATGGTCATCTACAGGACCAGGCTGTGTACCAGAGAACAGCGAGGTAGATGTGCCCAGGAGGAAGGAAGGCCTGCACCTCTCGTCACAGGCAAATGTAGTGGAGAGAAGCAGATGTGACATGTGGCACATTCTCAAAGGCAGGAATCTGCCCCACCAAGGGGGTGGAGGTGAGTGTCCAGGTCTCAGTGAACCATGAGGTGCTTTGAGTAGGACAGAGCAAAGAAATGACCAATTATCTGTGTGAAAGCATCAACAGAACCAGGACAATAGTCAGAAAAACAACAATGGAGGAAAATGACCAGGGAGAGATGAAGTCAGCTGTTCAAATCTGATTCTGCTAAAAGAAACATCAGGAAGAGAGCGGAAGAGACCAGAGAGACCTTGATCCAAAAGCAGAGAGGAAAACGATGGCCAGGTCTGTGTCCGCATCCCACCGCCCCCCCAACTCCATCCTTCCGTTTACTCATCTCCTGAATTACGACCTCCTCTTAGTAAGGTGCCTGAAACCCAGCAAGGTCCTGGGGAGAAAGAAGGGCTCTCAAGCAGCTCAGGGAGGTGGACAAGTTTGGGGGAACATTTAAAAGGACAGATGTGAAAGCAGGGGATGGATTTGGTATAGAATATTCAGCAAAACTTCTCCCCTCCCTCTCCCTCCCTCTCTTCTCTCCCTCTCTCTTCTCTCTCTCTCTCAAAAGAAAAGGCATAGAGATCTTGTGACATCAGATCCAGTGCCTCTTTTGAAAGCAGTTCTATAAAAGGAAGCTCCAGGGAAGAGGAAGAGAAATTGAGCTGTCTGGGGGGTTGGGGTGACCCCCAGCAACAGATGAGCCCTCATCCTGCCTCAGTGCAGGCTCTGGAAGCCAGACTGTGCACACGTCCAAGCTGCAATCCCAGGCTTCTGTCTCCCTCGGTGAAGATCCTAAAAGGCTCAACAAATGTGAGTCACCAGGACAAGAATAGCGTCCTACCTAAATAGCCAGCCTCTGGTTTCTCTGCCCATGTTTGCTGCCTGGGCCCTGCGCCTTCCAAACCCTGCCTTGTCAACCAGCCCTTCCCTGGCCCGGGCCTGCAGCTTTTCCAGCTCAGATAAAATGCAAACACACTTGGGCCCTCAATCCCCTTTATGGGGCATTTCCTACCTACCACCCGCTGGACTCCTTCTTTGCTGAATGTCTCAAGGTGGCACTTACTGCAGATCAGGACCTGTGAACTAAGGTGCTGCTTGATTAAGAACCTCTGCACCCTCAGCGCCAGAGAAATGCACGAGTGAAACTGAAAACATGCTTCAAACATTAGCATCTCTCTACACTAAAAATACTGTGCTAACCGAATCCCATCAACCGCCTGCTCTCTAGATTTAACTTCTTATCTCCTGGTTCTTTCCACCATGCATGCATTGCAGAGTAATAAATATTTTCACTCTAACACACCTTCCTTGATTGTGTACACGCTGCTACCGGGATTGAACACAGGGCCAATTCCCTGAGCTACGCCCCCAACTGTCTTTATTTTTCTTTCAGATTTTATTGTTATTAGTCCACGTCTGCAGTACATAATGATCACATTCACCGTGGGGAGGGGGTGCGTGGATAGAATACATCTTATTCTCTTGCTGTCCCCTGCCTCTCCCCGTCCCTCCAGCTCTTGGTTCCCTTCCCCATCTGTAAAAGATCAGTCTCCCTTTTCCCTATTATCTAGCTTTTATTTTGCTCCTTAATTATTTATACTTTGGGTTTCTCATATAAGAGAAACCATGCAACATTTAAGTTTGTCTGTCTGATTTATTTCACATATCATTAGGGTCTTTTAAATTTCTTTTCCAAGTTTGAAATAGGGTCTTGCTAAGTCACTAAGTCGCCCAGACTAGACTCAAAATTGTGATCCTTCTGCCCCAGTGCTGCATCTGGCTGGGATTAGAGGTCTGCACAACCACACCCAGCTCACTATTTTCTGTAAAAACTGTCCCTATCCTGACGTTTGCCAGGCTGCATCATAACATGCTGTTTTGATGACTATTTCCTCAAAAGGCTGTGGGTTTCCTCTCACAGCAGGCACTGGGTCTCACTGTCTCTGTACCCCAACACCCAGCATGGTAATGCTTGTGCAGCACACATACAAACATGTGTCAGAAACCACAAAGAGACCATCTGTTGTTGTCAAGAGTTTGCAAAGAAAACAATTTTATATAGGACATAGAATAAGTCAAACACCAAAAAGAGCAAGCGATCTGTCCACACACTAAAGAGCCAAAGAATTCAGCTCAGGGCCTGGATCTCATGGCATTGTCCTGCATGAGTCCAGCTGAAGACCTAGACAATACCCTCCACAAGTCCAGCTGGAGCCCTAGAGCTCACGCCAATCACTCATGCAAGTGTGTTTCATGGATCTTCATTGGAAGGCCCAAAGGTCAGTGGTGAAAGACACTAAGTCTGTGCCAGTAGACTGAGGGATCTGCACTGGGGCCAGGAAACGACGCTCAAAGTTAAGCACCAGGGCTCCCCGAAAGCGAGCTGAAGTCACTCTCAGTGACAACAAAATCCCAATCTCCTCTGACAATGAGAATAGCTGAGTTCATATCAGGAAGCCAGTGTGACAAGCTTCTCCAGGAGACTGAACAGCACACATCTTCCCCTCTAGAGCCAGGAAGTGACACTCAGATAAGGACTAGAGCTCCCCCAGAGTGAACAGCAGCCATTCTCAGGAACAACAAGGTTCCAAGCTCCGCTCTGAATGAAAACAGCCAAGTTCATATCAGAGAAGAAGCTTGACAGGCTCCCCCAGGAGAACCAATGGTAACAGCAGAATCAACAACACTGGTACCTTGTGCACTGCTACTGGGAAATTAAAATGGTGTAACTTTAAATATTGCAAATGGGAAGGCGATTCCTCAAAAACTTAAATATGGAATCACCACTTCACATCTGACTACAGGTCAAAAAGAACTGAAAGCAGAGACTTGGACAGATCTTTGCATACCCCTGCTCATAGCAGCTATCTGCCATAGCCCAGAGATGAAAGCAATAGATGAATGGATACACCAAATGTGGTCTCAACTGGTGGTGGTTTCTACCTGTAATCCCACCACTGCAGGAGGCTAAAGCAGGAGGATCCCAAGTTCAAGCCTAGTCTGGGAAATTCAGCAACTTAGTGAGACTCTATCTCAAAATAAGAAAATATAAAAAGGGCTGAGGATGTAGCTCAGTGCAAAGACCCTGGATTCAAACCTAAGTACCAAAACCAAAAAAAAGAAAGAAAGAAAGAAAAACAGTGAAATACACTGTTCAGCCTCAGAGAGAGGACGCCTGCTACATTAGGGACAAGCCTCCAGGATGCTACATGAAATAAACCAATTACTAAAGAAGGATGTGTCCGATTGCACTGACCTGAAGCAACTGCAGTGATCAAACCCAGAGAGACAAGCAGGGAACTCTTGGTGACAAGAGGCTGGGAGAGGACAGGTGGGAACCATTCAGTGGGCAGAGATTTATTTCACAAGACGGAAAGACTTCCGGAAGTTGGCTGCATGGAAGTATCGGTAGGATTAACACCACGAAACTTTATACTCAGAAACGGTTAAGATGCTAACTTTTATGCTAGGTATATTTCATCGTAATTATATTTTTCTAGATGTAAACAAATCATGATATGCCCCTGCTTCACACTTCTAGAAGCTTTTCAGGGACCTTGGCTATATACATTTTTTTTAAATGGTAAAATATTTCACGGGAAGAGTCAGGTAAATTAATAAACCATGATTTCACCTGGAATCCAAAATGTTAATTGAAATATGAAAACCGATCCCAGCCATGCAACTCCAGGTCACAACTCGATGCCTCCTAAGCTCTGTGTGGCTGTAGGGGCTGCAGCTCTGAGGACAACACCTGCTAGGACCCTCTTTCCCGCTGGCAGTGTCATATCATCTGCCAAATGCACCAGGCTGGGAGAAGAAAGTTCACGTTTCTCATTTTGACACAAACACATTAAGAACATAGCTACCGAAAAATCAATAAAAACAAACAGACGAACAAAAAAGGACCAGATTATTTCTTTCCCGGAACTGGGGATTGAACCCAGAGCCTCCATCCTTAGTGCTTTCTTTACTTTGAGACAAAGTCTTGCTAAGTTGTCCAGGCAGGACTCAAACTTGTGATCATCCGATCCTCCTGTGTCAGCCTCCCAGAACGTTGGGGTTGCAGGCATGGGTCCTCACAGCTGGGTCAAGGCCAGATACTAATGATTTCACTCCTGAAGGGTGGAGAAACTTATTCTTGTCATAAGTAAGCAAAAACAAAAATTTGGGGGCTGTAACCTGCAGCTGGATTTGTTCTACAATTAAGGAGGAGTTGGCCTATAAAGAACAGTGGTAAAAACAAGCTAAGAAGAAGCTTTATATTAACATTTAATTCTGCTCCTATAAATAGCAGTATGGGGGAGGGAAAAAACCCAAGGACAGAGCGAAATTAAAATATGCTTGAAATTGGATTATTTTTGATAGAAGAAAAATAACACAGCTAGAAATTATGGCATTTAATTTTATTTATCTGTAAGTCTACTACAAATGTGTACACCTGTCTTTATTCCAGACCTGTGCCTTTGCTTCCCTGTAGGTGAAAATTAACTGAGTTTCTAGGTAAAACACTGAACTTTTATGTGCAACTGGCAAAAGGCCCTCATTTAGCAGATCATTGTCCAACAGGAACACAGAGTAAGAAGCAAAAAATCCAGCTGAGACCCGAACTATGGAGATTCCTTGGGCACTTGGGCCATGTGCATCTTAAAAGCTCTGCTCACTGATTGCTTCTGCTGAGAGATCTTGATACAACTCAAGAAAGATGCTCATGCAGTGTTTCCGAACAAAAACAAGCAGGGAGCATGCCTGGTCCAAACCCTTACCATCTCTTGACCATCTATTAGCTTCGTGTAGCCAAACATTCACAGAAATCCCAGGCAGGCTCATCCGGGAATCTGTGCAAGGTGCAAAAGACAAGAACTTAGACAGGAAGCCACTTTGTCACCTTTCCCACGGTTTCAGTGTCCATCTACCTGACAAATCCTTAATCTAAATCTACCTTTCTTTTCTCTGAAATCATGCTGGTTCCTGTCATTACTCAAAATTTATTCACTGGAAGAGCTGGGGACATAGCTCAGTGGTAGAGGGCTTGCTTGGCATGCATGGCACCCTAGATGCCATCTCTAGCACCCCACACATGCACACACAACTCACTATTCACTGGGTCAAAGAACAAATGAATTATTGAATCAGTGACTGAGTTCTTGAATGCTGCCGACGCTTCCAAATAGGAAAGTTTGCGATCATCAAACACATGGCTCCCTCAAGAGCAGAGCCTAGCTATGCTTTTGTTCAAACCAGCACAATATGCTGAAGAGAGGGGCCAGAGAAATTAGAGTGAAAATTCTGTGGACCTTCTTGAGGGACGAGTTCATTTAGTATTGTTAATAAGCTCAAATGTATGCATGTGCGCTTTAAGGCAGGAGCAGAAATCTGAAAGCTGGCCCTTGTTTGCAGTCTCCAGATAACTCGAGCATGGTTGTTTTTAGAATACTTGCCTCACTATGCTCCTGGGGAGTTAAGCTATTGTTTGGATCCTGCAGAGAGAAAACTGTACCGTTTTGTCATCAGACTTCTAAAAAGAAAAATTCAAAGGGCCCCTCACTGATGTCTGGGGTGAAGTCTCGTCTCCGAAGGAATGTGGCTTCTCAGTAAAATATAGTGGCTTCTTTAGATGGAAATGCGACCTGCTCTGAATCAAGAAGAAACAAAGACACTAATTCTCCAAGGCTGGAGAATATGGGAATCATTTCCAAGTAACCGAACAACGTGCCAAGTATCAGTAATAACTACCCACTGTGACCAAAGTATATGCCATATGTTTCAACTAAAAAAAATTATAGTAGAAGATAAACTGCTGTTTATCTTCAGAATACTCCTCTTTGCTTCCTATACTCTTATTCCATCATTCTTGCCATTGTTAAAAACAGTTCTAAAGTTCTCCTCTGTAGTTTTATGAAGTGTTTTCAAAGATACAGTGAATGTTCCTGCCGAATGGCACCCAACAGAAAGGCAGAGTTGTAAAAACATGATGGGGTGTCCTCACCCCCTCACTCCCCAGATCCAGCACTGTAGGACTTCTTAGCTCATCCCCAAAGTCAAATGACCATGAAAAGGAGACGTTTTGAATCCATTCAGGACATCGAGACAGCCACAGCAGCGCAACTAACGACAGTCATGAGAGAGGACGTTCAGAACTGCTTCAGAAAGTGGCAAGAATGTGGGACAATTGTGTGCAAAGCCAAGAGGGGTATCTTGAGGGGGGTTAATGGCAATGTGTCTGCAACTGCAATAATGTTTGAAAAACAAACATTCACCATGTTTTTGATCATACTTTTAAAAAAAATTACCATCTTTTAGTACAAGTCAGAAGCACCCTGCCTCGGCGCTGACCATGTGCGCCTCACTCTTGAGCCTGCCAGTGTCTATTCCCGCAGCCCCCATCCACACAGGTCCTATTCATTCAGACTCAGGAATCCCTCATTCAAAATGAGTCGGTTAATTTCACCTGCATATAACTTATGAATAAAATGAAAAAAAGCAATTAAGTTGTATAAATAAGACTGGCATGCCTAACCCACTGAAGCTATCGTATTTGTGAAGATATTAGTATACTAATCACATGCATGGAAACTGCTGCCCCTTAGAAAAAATGAGTGCCCTGTGTCGAATGAGGCAAGTTTAACGCAGATAATTTTCTTAACAAGAGCTATGCTCTCTTACTGAAAACAGATTTAATAAGACTCCAGCAAATAGTATTTCTGGCTTTTCACCAAATCAGGTTGCCTTTCTCTGCCCTACGGTAACATCCCCTGAGCTTGCTATCCTGAGCTCAGAAGCAAAAGACAAGAAGATTCAGGTTTCGAGAACGAAGAGCAGGTGTGTGCATACACATGGTCTTGCACATGGAGGTTCGCATTTTTAGGCCTGGAAATTAATGTACAGTAAGAGGTGTGATTAAAAAGAACCATGCTAAATATTTAAATAAGATACAGAAATTTATCGTGGCAAAGACACACTGTCATTAATCTCCCCTCAAAATATCTACCATGGTTTTGAACACCCCTTTCTACTGTTCCGGCCACTCATGGTCCTCTTTCGTGAGTGTCTTTTATGTCTGCCTCTGTGGCAGAGTCTTGAATCAACTCAAAATTTTTTACCGCGACTTCAGTCAAATGAAAACATTACAGTGTGTCTTCATCCACCTTGTTCACCCCAGCTGTGTGTCACTTCTTCCTCTTCCCCAAACTCCAAATGATCGTGAAAGGCAAATACTGTATTTTGAATCGATTCAGGCCATGGGGGCAGCTTCCACAGCACAGCTAAAGACACTCAGGAAAGAGGACTCCAGAGCTGCTGCAGAAAGCGGCAGGAATGATGGCTAAGTGTGTTGGAAGTGCTATGAGTGGGACCAAAGGCAATTAAACGTTTTTTAAGAATGTAAACATTCACTGTGTTTTGTAATCATTCTTGCATTCCAAGGTGATCATTTAGAGAACTCTCCTTTTGAAAAACATCTTTGTATTTTCATCCTAAGACTTGTTTGCGATCACGATTTGTACCCACTTAGATCAAATTTTCCCAAGTCTTTCAAAGTCATTGTAAAGAGATTCTTCACCTTCCTCCCCTGGATAAAAAGCACAAATCACCAAAAAGAGGTAAATCTTTAAATAATAAAATCATCTTTCCCACTTATGTGTACTCCTTAATTCACCTACGGTCGCCATTACTCATTTTTATTTTATTCTGGCTAGAACACGTAATGTGAGCTAGAAACACTCACCAAGTTTTTAGGCATAGGGCTACACTATCAACTACAGGTGTAACGCGTACAGCTGACTCTTACTCTTCTTGTTTAACTGAAATTTTATGCTCCTCTGCTGTGAATTAGATGTGTCCCCCAGAGGTCCCTGTGTTCAAAGCTTGGTCCCCAAAACAGCACTACTAGGAGATGGTGGCACCCGTAGTTGACAGGGCCTGGTGGGAGTTCTTAGGTCACTGGGGTGCACCTTTAGAGGGGGCTGGGGGATGCTTCCTGCTTGGTGATGGGAGCATTTTTGTCCGACCCATTTCTGTGCCCCCACCATTGTCACCTGCACCCACGCCAGAGGCCAAAGCAATAGAATCACTTGGTCACCAATTGGAAGCCCCCAACCATACACCAAACCAATCTTTTGTAAGTTAATTATCTCAGTGATTTTGTTACAGCAACAGGAAACTGACAGGTGCCCTTGACATATGTCCTTCCATCCTTCAGTGGACAAAAGAACTGTAAGACTAACAGAAAAAAAAATTAACAAAAGTGGCCATAGTAAGCCCTTTTCTCATAAATAATTACTTTAAATGTAAATGGATTAAACATTATTCACTTTTAAAATATCTGCTATCAAAGAGAAATGAGCAGTTTATGAGAAATTACAGAAAAGAACCAAGGCCAGTTTCCAAGACACTTGCAGAACTGACATCTCCTTTGCCCTTGCCAGGGGGTGGCAAAGCTTGGGCAAGTGAAGGTCACTTTCAAGGTCACTGCTTCATATGCTCCACCAGCACTAGAATTCCATGTGAAGAGGAGCAGACACAGTGATGGGTCTTGGATTTGCAGTTCTGGGAATCCTTAACTCTTCTCGGCTTTCCCTCTTAGGAGCACCAAGTGCAATATTTAATTTCTGCTAACAGCCATGTTGATAGCTGTGTGGAAATCTGTGTGTGTGTGTGTGTGTGTGTGTGTGTGTGTGTGTAGAAAACAGAGGACATGCCTCCCAAGCTAGGAAGAAAGACGTCTCTTACCTATTAGGCTCAGAAAATAACCCTCTTCCACTTGTCAGCCTGTCTGAGCCTGCGAGAGACCAAGACTCAGTAATTCAGAAGAAGCCAGCCGTCTTAACTGCGGCCAAGAGGACCACGAGGGAAGATGACATGAAGAGACCTCTTCTTGTCCCCAGTGGTGTCATCTTGGTCTGTTCAAGCTCAACAAGCCTCCTGATGGAAGGGGAAACTTGGAGCCCCGAACCTCTTCTCTTTAGTGAGCATGCACAAGCCTTCACTCTACATTGCTAAAAGGAGCCTGGGCTCCCAAGAGTAGTGTCAGAGTCACTGGGACACAGTGTCCCCTCCTTCCAGTCTGATGGGACAGTGTGTCATTCCTCCTGGTCAGCATCAGGTGAGAAAGGCAGGCTAGGGACACTGCGATCATAAGGCCGAATCATCTCCCCTCCGGGGAGTGAAAGCACATACTCCAAAGAACACAGGACTCTGCTGACCCTGGGCATTCACCTCACCACATTGTCACCTCTGCACCAAGTCCTGTTGACTCTGCCACCATGGACATCAATGGGGTTAGGGGTGTCTGTATCCCACAAGGGCCAGGGCTATGTTCTCAGAGCCCTGCACCCAGCAGACCCCAGCCAACTCCTACACAATGAACACAGAGATTGTACATGTGTGCAGTGTGACATAAGCCACAGCTTTCTTATCTGTACAATGGGGCGAATCATCCTGCCTCATAGGCCTGCACTGAGAAGTTCATGGGGTGAGTTGCACTGTAGACTTGGCACACTTGGAGGTAATGTCACAAACCATGCTTCCCACACTTCCCTGTGTGCACTAATGGAAGACAGCAAATCAGTCCAGAATGAGTCAAGTGCACATCAGTAATCTCAGTAATCTGGGAGGCTGAGGCAGGCGGATGACAAGTTTGAGCCTAACCTGGACAACTTAGCAATTTAGCCATATTGCAAAGGTCCAGTGTTCAGCCTCTGGTTCCACAGAACAAACAAATGAACAACACTAACCCACTTTCCAAGAGGAAGGTTAATGGTCTGCTGAGAGCACTGGCCTTGAAATCTAGCAGCACAAAGATCACAGTGAGCCCCAGCTGAAGTCCTTTGCTAGCAGC